TAGTTGGTTAAACAATTGGACTAATCTTCTCCGGATTTCTCTAAATAATTTGCACGCGATCTTTATCAGCGGCTGTTCGCAGAGACAAAAGCGATATATAGAGGAGAATTTCTATCGAATGCAACCGGTCGGCGTTTACTCTCCATCTCTACATCTTTTTATTCCACACGAACGATGCACACACTTGGACAATTGGACGATTTCCTCTGTCGTGTCCATACGTTTCACTGGTCCATTAAGAGTGGAGCGGGTGTCCAAGGGGCTCGTCAAACATCGTCCATTTCAGAGGCAGGGCTGAAAAATCGCGAGGCGAGGAAGTCCCCGGTACCCGACGAAAGTCGATTATTCCGCCGGTGATTCGGGCGTTGATTTTTTTTTCCTCTCCTCTCTTCTGCTGCTGACTCAATTATTCGTCGCGATTCTTTAGGCAAACATTAGTTAGCACCGTGTGTGCGCGCGAGAGCACGGATTGCCTCCGATCGGTTTGGTTCGGTTCATGCGGCGACCCTTCATGGTTGCTTGGTTCCGTTGTCTACTCGTCAACGAACGTAGCCCCATCGGCTACGGGGTGTTAACGCGGTTCTCATTTTTATCCTGGCTAATTCACTCTGACTTGCGGAATCAGATCGACCTGTGTACGTGTTTCTATCGTCAAAAACTATTCGAATTGTTCTACTTCTTCCTCTTATCGATCGTATTTTGAATTTTTCAATGTTATTTGCGGGGTCATTTTAACGCGTAGCAAAATTTTAAGAAGGAATTGGGTATAAATGTGTGTACTTTCAACTACAGTAGAGCGTCAGTTATCCGAACCAATTGGGACTGAGGTGGTTCGGAAAATCGAATTGTTCGGATAATGAAACAGTTCAGTTAATGAAACATACGCATGTACTTACCCAGTTTACAACTGTAGGAATGAAGCTTAAAGTTACTTATTGATGGAAATATTTCAAAAAAATGCTTCGAAGTAATAATATGCATTTATTAACACTAACCGTACCATGGCCCGGTCAAATGACCGGATTTAAAATTTCAATTTAAAACCACACGCCTGTTTTTCCCCTGTATTTTCTTCAAAATAAAAATATGTAATTTTTTTTTTATTATTATTATCTAAAGGCTGTTTCCTATATTAAATTGACAACCACCTGCATTCCTTTCGGAAGAAATATGATTATTTCGTAACCGGTCATTTGTCGGGATAAGTGTCGGTACGGTTAGTTTAAGAAAGTTTATATTTTACTCATCAATCGGCACCTACTGTGTAAAATAGGTGTATCTCCTAATCCGAGCCGCCTGACTTTATCGCTGTTGAGTCGAAACGATTCGTCGTACGAGGGTTAATTAATACGAAAAGGTATTCCTACAGAATCGAGAGGAATTCAAATGTTATCGTCTTCTCTCCCTTTCTCCGTCAGAGAAAACATCGATCCCCGAAAAACGGACAGCCGGGAACGAATCGGAGCGAAAAGCTGGTCACTTTTTAATATTCATGCTATTTTCCCGAGGCATTCGTTATCAGAGCCGATAACTCGAGCCGGTCGGTTTTTCCATCACCAGGAAATTCCGATGGTTTTCTTCATCGTGGGACACGTGTCAAGAATTACATGCCCTCCCTGCCTCTTCTCCTCTCCTATACCTTGCTAGAGGATTGAGTTATACCGTGTCACCGAGATTAACTGTCCTCGACTTTCATTGGCACACGGAGGGCTTGACAAACGTATCCGGCAACGATCGAACGCGAAAACGAAAACAAAACTGTACGCAACATGGATAGAAAGGGGTGGAAAAAAAAGGACGAGAAATAAAAGAATATAAAACAAACACACACACATGGTCGAGTCCCTTGTCCTAGGTTATGTTTCACAGTGACGTACTGGCGGCAATGGAGGCTTCGCCTATCGTAACACGATATCCGGTTGGAAACGTCGAATTTGAAGCATTCGTCGTCGCGTTGTGCCACACGGAAATCACCGTTGCCCCAAATTTCACGACGTTGACTTTTTTCACCCTTCGAACGCGTTTTGAATGATCACTCTCGACGAGAAATGTTTGGAGAGAAATAGAAAAAAAGGAGATGTATATTTTGTGAACGTTAGAACACAGATAGAGGATCAATCGTGGTTTTTTTTTTCATTAGATGAAAATCTAAGGTGAATGAGAAACACTGGCGTGTTTCGCTGGTCTATCGCTACTAATACAGATCTCACGCGCTCCCCTCAATATAAACCATTCTTCTACCCTTGTGCCTGCCGTATGGGAACCCATACGTGCAGGAACTGCCATTCAGATTTAAATCGCGGCGGAAAAAAATATGGATTCCCCTTGCAACGGCACGAAACTCTCTCTTTCAATGCGGCACAAGACGGATATATCATTGTATCGAGACACGTTTCGAAGATGGTAAAAGATCCTTTACCCCATGGAACACAGACCACACCGTCCTTTCGATTTTCGATGGTTTCCTAGTGAGAGAAAAATTTTGGTTTGTTAAAGGGTTTTTCGAGAGGAGGAAGGAAAGAATATTAGACCTCTGGCTTATAAATAATATCAATATCTCTCTCTGTCTTTTAATCTCTCTTTGAAACACTCGTACACAATCATTCACTCTACAATTATTGTCCACGAACTATCTACACGTATATACAAACTCCCTATGTACAACAATCACGCGAATATACACAGTGTTAAGGTATTACGTGATCGAAAGTGACCAGCCATTCGATCCATCACCAAAAACATCCTTCGTAAAACCGAAGATGCGCTTCTCTAAACCACCCCGTTTATCCACTTGGTTCGTGTTAACAAGATAACCGAGAAGAAGTAAAAAAAAAAAGAAAAGAAGAAGAAACAGTGGAAGAAAAATATCAGCTCTCTGCCACGAGAAATCTGAATTAACGTCGGTCAAACTCGCATCGTCGACGACGACGACGTCTCTAAGTAAATCACTAGCCTTCCAGCGGGAACAATTTCCACGTTTCACCACGTCTCGATCTTAGTAAGGCCTCCATACCGGTTTGGCCGGAGGTGGCGTGGAGATTTTCGTAGGTGACGGACTCCTCTTCGGCGACAAAGACCTCGAGATGAGAGCTGTTGGCGCCTTCAGTTCGTTTCTACCACCTTCTGGATGCTTCTTCGTGGCTGGCCTCTCCGGTGACGACGAGGAGGCGGTGATAACGGACGACGCGGGTGGCAGGGTGTTCAATCTGATTGGCACGAACGCGCTGCGAATTTCTTCGGGGGCTGATTCGCTTCCGGACTCGCTCGGACTCTTCGGCGGTGTTCTCGACGGGCTGTTGGGTATTGTCGCCGGTGTGGTGGTGCTGCTGGTCGTTTTCGGTGGCAGTGTCGCGTATTCCGCTGGATATTTCACCGGATCGAATGTGTACGACGGTAGAACAGTGGGTGGAAAGGTTGGCGGGAACAGATCTGTCGTTGGCATTGGTATGATTCCTGAACAGAGAGATAGAGAGAAAAATGTAAGAAACGAAAAAAAAGTTGGAGAAAATTCGAAGATGCGCGGTGACTGCGTGTAGTGGGCGAAAAAGGGGAGGTTTAAGGAGCATTGTTGTTGCGTAGCTGGGGGTCTCGTAGGGGTCCTATGTGGGAAAAAGGGAGCACCGTGGGCTCACCCCTCGGTCCAGCTACGGGGGTATGAATCATCGGCAGGCGTCGCGGACGAGATCGATAACGCGGACTCTCGTTCTCTCTGCGAACGCGTGTGTCCTCTTTCGAGGCTTTTTTCTTCGTCGTGCATTGTTGGTGTTTGATTGATTGCGCGTTGGGGGAGGGATGAAGGGCTCTGATGGAGCGATTAGGGAGAGCTCGTGCTTGCTGGGATGTTTCGAGACGAGTTAACAGGCGTTTCGAAATATCTGTCTTCTCTCTTCTTTTTTCTTAATTAACTAGACCGTTAATTGATTATCGCTCGGCGAAATTATCGGAGGAGTGTTCGCGATAGAATTAACAGTATTCCGTCTACGGATCAAAGAACATTCGAGACTCGAATTGGATACTAACGAAGGTGTTAATTCGCCTCTGGAGTTTCTCACGCGAAAACGCATCTAATCAACAAGTTAATTAATCTTACCTTTGACGAAGGCCGGATGAGGCAAGTGCCACGCCGCGTGTCCCAGGTAGGCGACATCCACCCAGGGATGATTCAACAGCCCCAACTCAGGGAATCCATGTCCGTAGTGATAATCTGCAAGCAAAACCGAAAACACACTGGTTAGATTGAAATCTTCGAGAATAGCCTGGTGTAGGTGTATAACATTGGTGCCTAGCAGCGATTCCTTCGACTCTATAAATAACGCCTCCACACACGATCCATCGAAGTTTCCTCGATAAAACCGTGGGGGGAGAGAGAGAGAGAGAGAGAGAGAGACCTTGGCGAACTTTCTTCCCTAATTCGCTCGTGTCTAATAAAGTTTCCGATGAAATAATAATAAAATTGAAGGAAGGAGAGAAAAAGAGGAATCTACAAGACTAAACTGTACGCTGTACTCGTGTGTCGAAGCTAACGAACTGACAGAGAGTAGCCAGACGATGGCTGAAGATGAAAAGAGGAGTCTCGTTCAAGGCCCGTAAAACATGGATTAACGACGCTCACTCTGTTTACACGATCGCCACGTTATGGTCGCTGGTTGCGTGCCACATGCTACCGCCATATGCGGCGCGATAAACAAACGCGTAAAACGCGGCTCCTTTGCAGACAGTTTCTGCCTCCCGCGGCGTTCTCCTCCGGCTCTCTTTTATTCAACGCCGCCCACCCGATAAACAGACGGAATGCTCGTGTATTTAGTGTTTGATCGACGTATCGTACGTTCGTATCCGAGGACAGAAGGGAAAAAATAAGCATGTTGGATAGTTGAAGGATAGTATTTAGTGTTTGATCGACGTATCGTACGTTCGTATCCGAGGACAGAAGGGAAAAAATAAGCACGTTGGATAGTTGAAGGATAATGATGATGATGATGATGATGATGATGATGATGACGAGTTAGGAGGAGACAGGATCGTGTCGTGGCTTGAACGGATGCCAAGAGGCTCGTTTTAACGTAGGCACAGACGAGGTTTTCACGTGTTTGACCATGTGTGGTGGGTGCGCGCGCGCACAGAGCCACCCTTATGCACACGTGCACGTTGGAAACCAGTGCGAGAGTCTCCGCGAGACCGCCGCGGTTTGAGGTCCACCGGATTATTAAACGCCTACGAGGATACCCGACACCCGTTTGCGGATTCTGCGCTGGCCACGCTCAGAAGCCACAGTTTTCCCGTTGAATTTTCAGTGGGAAGTTCTCGAACCACGTCCAGAGGAATTCTTTCGCGAGACGTTTTTTCCCCTCCCGATGAATTTCTATGGGAACGTTTGACATTTCACGAGGAGAGCGAGAAGATTAAAACGGTAGAAGAGATGAAGCGTGATTTTTTTAAAAGGCATTTGCAACATGTTGAAAAATTTGTTCGAGTCGAAGGAATCTGACAGATGCTGGATGTTCGTGGTAGTTTGTGATGAACTTACTCGACTTGGACCTTGGTTCCCTCGGTCCGTCCACGGTCACTTTGATCGCCTTGGTATAGGTAGCCACCTGGAATGGTACCGTGCTGATCTGGATGGTCAGGGAGAACGATTTTCCTGTAACCAAGAAAAAATCCCATTGATTACTCGTTTGGTGTTGTTTTTTTCAAGAACCTCTCTGTAGGTTCTCCCTCGGACTCGGTGAGTTGTGATTGAAAGAAATAGGATTGTTCCGAGACACCAACCTCTTCCACTGCGACCGACGAATCTGAGATCGTTGAACTTGGCCACTTGGCTCTTCATCACCGCGGTGCAATTCCTCAATTCCCCGCAGCAATTCTCGTCGTTGCCCGCTCTGATGGTGACCAAAGTTCCGTCGGTGACGTCATCGAGGGCGACGACCTTGAAGGCCACGGGCAACGACTTGTTCGACCTCCAATGGGATGGCAGTGGGCTGCAGAGGATGGCGGGACTTCCGGTTCTCACCAGATCACCGTAAGAAGCCTGCAGCGTTTCGTGAATCGCGTTGAAGTTGTCCATTCCCAATGGTCCTTCCGGTAAATGCATTTTTCCACCGTTAGAACCTGTGCTATTGGTCGAACCACAGAGTCCAACTGTATCTCTCTCTCTCTCTATATATATATATATATATATATGTGTGTGTGTGTGTGTGTGTGTGTATATATATATATACAATGTAATCCAAGTATCCTCCTTCTTCACACGAAGTTCGTCGAAACACTCTGAGCGTATCTCTATCAACACTCTGAACAAACACTTGTTCCAACGAATAAAATCAAACACCGGGGAGGTTCTTCACCGAGGAAGTCTCTCTCTGCGAAACGGAACTGTTTTCTTCTTCTTCTCGTTGCACACTGCGTGTGGATCCAAGGATGAACAGGTGTTGAAGGGGAGAGAGAAAAAAAACTGATACGATATGTCTCCGAGAGGTTGAAAAAAAATTGTACGCCGAACCGACGCGCACTCGATGCCGGCTGAGCGGATTCTAGTTTTTCGCGGCCGCAGCCGCAGCTATTTAGAGGGGATTTTTCTCCCCTCCAATTTTTCCGGAGCCCCACCCAGGCCAAGCGCGTCGACCAATGAGGACGGCGGTCGTGTTGTGGCCTCCGCGGCTCGCCGCCTTCGCCCCTAACCAGGCTTAGGGGGTGCCTTGCGAAAGGGGCTGCCAGCCTGCCGGCTCTCTTCCCAAGGGTGGCTTGTGCCTCCGCTTCTTCCTTACCGTTTCCGATCTTCCCTCCTCGTCACGCGTCCCTCTCACTCTCTCTCGCTCTGGACTACGTCGGTCCCTCTATTCACCGTCTCTGTCACCCCAGTGCGGACACGTTTCGGCTCCAGTTCACCCTGTCTCTCTCTCATCTGACCTTTCACTCGTAGCTTCGTCTTTGTTCGTCAGGCGTATACCTTGGCCAGCGCCACGCTTTCTCGTCACCGCGTATACACATTTTCACGCGCACGTGTTCCGACCACCCCACCAGGGTCGCTCGCTGCTGCTCCACGCGTTTCTTGACCCTCTTGGAGACTCCTTGCGCCGAGGAGGACGCGGGAATCTTGTGCAGGTGGAGGACGGATTAGGATGGTTTCCGTCGCAGCGGCGAAATTTCTTCGTTCTCGGTTGACATTTTTTCGAAGCAGGTTGTAAATTATACCGAGAGGAGTTTACAGTGTTGGTTTCTTGAAATTATAATTAAAAAATAATTTGGAGGTTAAAGGGTTGAATGATTTTTTTCCCGTCTTCAAATTGTTTCTAGAGTTTACTCGGATTAAATTGAAAGAGCAATGTTGTTGTTATTATTATAGTATATTTAAACTATTTGCGAAGAAACTTAGGGTGTAAAGCGTTGATTATGCTAATGATTGCCCCAAGTGGACTTGAAAATGTACAATTTTTCTGGGGCTCTGTATATTTTTTTTAAGAGTATTGCAGGTATTATTACAGATAAAAATTAGGCGAATCGAGGTGACGGTAGGAGGCACGTAAATCACGTCCCCCTTTAAGACGGGATAATCCTGCGGTTACCTACGAATTAACTTCACTCACGGATTCCATTAGGTTGGACGGATTTGTTACTCGGTACGAAACCTCGCGCCTCCATAATATTTGGACAGGCATTTATGCGCGTCCACCGAAGGGGGTCCTTTTTCGACGCGGCGCACAATATTCCACGCCTCCTCTCTATTTTCACGAGTCTGTAACCGGTGTATGGAACGAAAAAACCTTTCGCCGCGAAATATGTTGAAAATTCCATTGGAGAACCACCGTCGAATAGATAATAGATATTCAATATATACCCGCGATATTTTTAACTCAATTAATCAACTCTTTTCAACTTCGTTATTGACACTCGTACAATAAAAGTACCGCCAGCTGCTGAAACAATATCCTCCACGTGAATATAAGTCCATAATTTCCACCGCAGATATAAAATCCTGCTTCCATTGAAAAAAGAAACAAAACAAACGGAAAGGAAAAAAAAAATAGAAGAAAAAGAAAGGAGAAGAAGATATTGAAGGGAACAATGGGGGAGACATTTGACGAAAACCCAAGAAATTTTTATGCCAGGGTCAATTCACCTCGCAGAAATGGATGTCGCATAATTTATTAAGTTATGAGGATCGTCGGTCGATGGGCCCGTAATATTTGGACAGGAATTCATGCGGTGTCTTCGTGGGGGGGCCCAGAAAAGTGGTGGTAGCGTGGATAATGTTGGAGGGGAAATGGAAAGAGAGAGAGAGAGAGGGGGGAGGGAGAGAGAAAACGATGGGAAGGCATCGTGGCGAGAGATTTATTGGGGGTGTCGAGGCTCATTTCACCGATTTTCGCGCAAAAGAGGCGCGCCAATTCAGCCCTTTTCGGCGGAAACTCGAAAGGGACAGGTCGTAAAGGTCTGGTATGGCGTTGGCCGTGCACGAAATTCGAATCGATCTTGACGGAATCCCAACCCTTTGACTTTCTGGGTCAGCGTGTCGTTCACGGGGGCTTTCCTGCGAGATTTACAACGAAATTGCACTCGCACTCTCTTCTCGCCAACCCTTTTTGCTCGTCCTGCCACGCTAAACAGGGAAGCGGGAGAAAGATAGGAGAGAGGTTTAACGAGGTTGGATTAAATTTCCCGATCGCACGATTTCTCCGTCTTTTATCCTTGATTTTTAGTCCTTCCACCGTGATCCTGGATGTTTAATTAACCCCTCCTAGAATTTCACCTCACTTTCGTCGATTTTTCGTCGATTTCTTTTCGAAAATTCAATTCTACAGAATGGAAATATTTTCTCTAGCGGTGGAGAGGTATTTTTTTTCTTCTATTCCTCGTCGTTCATGGTGCAATGTCAATTTCGTAAAGTTTTCAAGTTTCACACGCCGGAGTGGACAAAAAATAACGATCGCTCGTCGATGTTCCCTAATTTTTATTGGAGTATAGTTATTGGAAGAGTTCCACACCCTCGTTTTCCATGGAATAAAGGAGGCAATTCCCCCGGGTGTACGGTATTATCGGTCGCGGATCTCTCTATACGAGGAATTCGGGGCCCTAAATTGATGTACCGGGAATTACTTTCTATGGAAAAAGAGCGTTGTCCCGGTCGGTAGCCCCCATGGCGGAATATACAGGCCACGATCCATAAAGGCCCAGTTTCGAAACTTTTACTGCCGATCGTCACGACCGGCTCGCATCTTTCAAAGGTATACACAGGCTAATTTCTAGGTAAAAGTGCGTGGAAAGGCTCTCCCTTCGTATTCCGCTGCTTCCACGTCACGTTCGACGTCCTTGAACCACCGCGACAGTTTTCTTCGGGATTTTACACCTACCATCGAAGGATTAACCCTATTTTTTTTTACACCCTCTCCTCGTTGCGTCGAAGATACATCTGCCGGGACTGAAAGATTCGAAATCTTACACCACTGGGAATCTTCCAAATCTAACAGAAAATCTTTCAGAAAATATTCCATTTTTTAACAGCGCTTTTGAAAGAAAAAACTAAATTCCTACTGTTTTTTCTTTCTTCTTGTTTTTATCTTGCGTAACATTCGGGTGGCAACTATTTATTCGTTTGAACGTCTTCATCGTGTACAACTTTTTCAGGTAATAAGGGAACGTTGCCCACTTTCTGAAATATTTCAGGAGGAAAATATTCCCCTGTGACAATGGACACATTAGAGTAGCAAGAAAAAAGAGGAAGGCTCGGAAATTCTTGCTCGAACAATAGTTTATTTCACGGTGCGAAAACCGGCGCATCATTCGGTGCAACAGGAGTAGCAATTAATTAATAGTAGACAGAGAAGGATAGAGAGAGAGAGAGAGAGAGAGAGAAAGAGAGAGAGAGAGTAACGAGCCACTGCTGTACGAGGACTAATTTCTTAAAAACGCGCGAGTAACGTGCGCATCCGTTTCCTCGCCAGTGACCAGCAAAAGGCGAGCAGCCTGTTTTTTAATAAAGCCTAGTGCGCCGCCTCGCCTGGACAAAGACAACGAATGACTTGTATGCACGCCGTGAGCCGACGCCACGGTTAGACGAATATGAGAAGAGAGAGAGAGAGAGGAGAAAAAGAACAAGTGTGAAAAGATGCACGGCCAATGCCGACAGGGACGTCGTTTGATACGTGGCTTCGATGCTTTCATTTCGACCTACGTGTATTTTTTTTCACACCAACTGGAAGAACAGGTAGATTAACACGGAGATAATTCGCGGAATTGCACAAAGCGTTCAGAGAGAGTAAAAGACTCTGGATCACGACTGTCATCCACGAGGTGTGAATTTAAATGTTACTTTGAGCCACGAGTTGGTCTCTTCTGTTTTTTCAACCGTGTGTTTTCATTTGAAACGAGAGAGAATTTTTGGTCGTTTAAGCTTCCTTTTTCACAGAGAAGTAGGATTTTTAGCGAGACGTCGTATTTAGGTGGATTCTACCCCAATTTATTAGGTCATCTCGTCAGTTCCTGGCGAATTTTACTATTCAGATCGATATTTCCAGCGAACCTTTAAATTTCACAATTGCTTCTCATTCCTACTTTTTTCTTTTTGTAAGATCATTATCTGGCCTCTACAGAAGTTCTTGAAATTTTCGTTAAAATATTTTCGGCACGAACTTACTCTTCTCTCCACTCTCGCTACCTCAGAATTAAAAGAAAAAGTTCCTGCACCAAAAAATATCCACCGTAGAAAATTGGCTCCAGAACCGTCCAGCCAAACTTGTTGCTCGCCGTTGACCAAACCGGGGCTCGATCGAACGTATCGTCGTCCCTGGTCTAGCGAGATAAGGTGAATCTCGTGGACTTTGGTGCGACACGTCACGGGGGTGTAGAAGAGGAGGCGACGAAACGGTACGCTTGGAGAACGATGCGCGAAAAAGGGGCGATGCTTCGACATGAGGAGGAGGAGGAGGAGGAGGGTGGAGGGAATAGGAAGGTGGAGGAGCAAGCACACAGGAGGGCACAGAAGTTAACACGGGAGAGCGCATTGTGTGCGGTGAGCGAGCCGGAAGCGTCGCCATACTGCGTATCGCCCCGCGTCGCTTTTGTTTCCGTTCTCGTTGCCCCGATCGTTTTCTGCCC